GATTTTTTGCTTTGAGTTGCGAGCTAAAATTCAGGTTACGAGCCAGCTTCAGATACCCCACCGCTAGTTGGCACAGTGAACGCCACAACATTAGCCCAGCATCACGTGTCTCACTCGTTCACTTTAATGATTTGACATACAAGTAATTTGAGTTATGAGCTCCGTCCCGGAATGAATTAAACTCCTAAGTCAAGGCCCCACTGTATAATAATAAAAGCGTAATACCCAAATCAACTGAATAGCCAAATAGCGGAACGACCGTCCAGGTGACCTCCAGATGAAGCTGATGCTGTGAGGGCCTACTCTTGCGTGAATTTCGTGCATCGGGCCTCTAGTATAAATATAGAAGCATAGAGTGTGTAACCTTTTGTGTCTAGCTTCCCACTTCTTTTTAAGAAAGCCATGGTTCACCCCAAAAGAGGAACTTCGCAGAAGCAAACCCAGCTCCAGGGTCTCGAGCAGGGATTACTGGGAGCTGTTGCTCCAGTTGTAGCTTCTCCCAGTTTTCCCTTCCTTTGCTCTTTCTCTCTCTTCCCAGGTAATTGGGCTTTCGCACAAGAAAGTTGATTTGTCTGTCTGTTTAGTAAAGTTCATATAATAAAGATTTAAATATATAGAAAAATATAAATGAATGAGTTGTATAATAAAAAGTTGAGCCTTTGTTTAAAGAAAAACAAATAATTTCCTCAATTACTAATAATTAGTAAGCATCCATGAAATAGGATTTTTCTTGGTCCTAAACAACATTTAGTGAACTTAGTACAGTGTTATGAATCGGGTTTTGTTAGGGCAGTCTGCAGCTGCTATAACCCCCAGGAAACTGGAGAACCTTCTATTGTGGTGATTTTAGAAGAATATGTAAAGTAAAATGTGAAAGCGCTTTTTGCCCGTTTCCCCCAGTCCTCGCCTCCAGAGCAGCTTTATTAGCTGTTTACTGTTTAATGGCCCTGCAGACCCTCCCAACGCCGACATGCCATGCTTCCCTCCACCTCTGCGACAGAAACATAAACAGTCGTGGAGTCAGATTACACAGTTTGTAACTTTTTTTCCTACTTCTTGGATTTGAACTTGTTTTCATGGCCTTGCAGAGTCACCTTATTCTTTGTAGGAGCTGCATGAGTGTTCATAGCTTGTCCGCCATCCCCTACCATGACCATTCAGGTGGTTCCTCGGCTTCTCTGTTCCAGGCAATGCTGTCTTTACTACTCAGCTCCGTAAACACAAGGAGGTTCTGGAGCTCGACGCTTTACCGGACACTGTCAGATCCTCCTCCTGTGTGTGGGCCGCATTGTACGCCCAGCCCACCAGTGCTGTTTCCGCACACTTGCCACACATTACCGTCACCCAAATCCATTTCGGCCTGAAAGGGAAAGCATTCTGTCACTGTTCTGAAGAGCATTTCTTTAACTGATGAGTTTAAGCGTCTGTTATGTGTGTTGGGCATTTATATTTCTTCTGTGAGCCACATGTTACTGGCCTTTGCTCATTTTTCTATTTTGTTTATTATTGCTTTTTTAAATATATTTTTTTTATTGATTTCAAAGAGGAAGGGAGAGAGAGAGAGAGAAACATCAATAATGAGAGAGAATCATTGATTGGCTGCCTCCTGCATGCCCCCTACTGGGGATCAAGCTCGCAACCCAGGCATGTGCCCTGACTGGAAATCGAACTGTGACCTCCTGGTTCATAGGTTGATGTTCAATCACTGAGCTACACCAGCCAGGCTGTTATTGTTTTTCAGTACCTCTTTTAATATTCATAAACTCTGAATCACATATGTATTTAAAATATTTTTTGGGGGGGGTAGGGGAAGCCGGGGTATTGTCAAGGGCGGGGAAAAAAAGGACACATATGTAATACCCTTTGTAATGCTTTGAACTGTGACCTCCTGGTTCATAGGTTGATGTTCAATCACTGAGCTACACCAGCCAGGCTGTTATTGTTTTTCAGTACCTCTTTTAATATTCATAAACTCTGAATCACATATGTATTTAAAATATTTTTTCTGAGTTCCTATTCTGTTTTTTGTCTTTTTATGTTTGTAGTACTTTTAAAAATGTATTTATTTATTTTTATTTATAGGAGAGACTTTATTCTAAAGGCTTATAGCAAGGGTGTGGGAAAGGGACTGTGGACTATGTTTGTGGTTTTAATTTACATATATAAATATAATCAAATGGAACCATTTTTCTTTGAGGTTCTTGGCCTTTGTGTAAACTGAACACATGTTCATTGATAATATGGGTAATAATTTTTAAATTTTCATGTAAGTCATTTTCCGTATCGAATTTTTTCTCCAGGTTTTGCTTCCTGCGGTGCTGTGGCTGCGTGTTTTCTGAACGAGCCTTGAAGGAGATAAGAGCAGAAGTCTGTCACACAGTGAGTTGTTGACATGTGTCGGTTCTTCTCAGTGGCTGAGGAAACAGATGGTGTGGGGTCCTCCCCTCCACGTGTGATTTCAGTATCCTCCACTTCTTTCTGAAGCATGGATCTAGTTAGTGTTTCTCTGTTTACAACTGTCCCGTAGCTTGTCACTGCTGGAAGTTGGGTCTGTACTTCCATGTCCCTGCTGCCTGCCAGCTCAGAGCACACTGGGCCACTGCCTGAGTGCTCCTCTCTGTCCTGTGCCTTGTTCCCTCTGCCCTTCCAGCCTGGAGGGTCCTTCCTGGGAACCTTAGTCCAGAGTGATCATCGTTCCCTGCGCTGTGTGATCCCACTGACCTCAGCTATGTGGTGGCTTCGCCACTGGACTGTGAGGTTTTCCTCTTCTTTTTTTTTAAATAGGACTTTATTTTTTTAGAGTACTTTTAGGGTCAGTAAAATTATGAGGAAAGTAAGTGATTTCCCATATTCCCTCTGCCCTGCCCATACACATGTGCATAGTCTTCCCTGTTACCAACATCCCCATCAGAGTGGCACATTCGTTAAAGTATGAACCTCCAGTGGCACGTTGGCATCATCCAGAGTCCACAGTGTACATTAGGGGTCACTGGTGGTGTGTATTCTGTGGGTTTGGAAAGATGTATAATGACACGTGTCATCGTCATCGTAGTGCCACACAGTCTTTCCACTGCCCTGAGAATCCGCTGCCCTCCTGGCGTGTCTGAGGGCTGGTTCTCTCCAGGCACATCCAGTGCTCAGTAGGTGCTCAGACGAGTGAGCAAGCGCTTGACCTGGGCACTTGCCTGCTCAGCTCACGTAAAGGAGATGCTGATGGCTTTGCTTCCGCCTGTTGCTGCTGTAGCTGGAACGTGTCTCTGGTGTTCTGCTGGCCCTTGGGAAGCCTGGCATTTAGTTTAGTGTCATGGATGCCAATGGCTCTGGGCTGTATTTTCACCCGTGTTAATCCTGTGAGGCCTCCCTGCACTGTTTCTCCCTCCGGTACACACCTCTCCTTCAGCAGCTTTCGTTGAACAGCTGGTGAGGCCAGCACTCTTCGCTGGCTCTCATGGTGGATAAGACTGAGAGCCCCTGTTTGCATGGAACCCACCATCCAGTTTGAGAGATAGACACTCAAATGACTGAGCAAGGCAGAATCAATGGTGACAAATGCTAGAAAAGAAACACAGAGGGTGATGTCCCATAGGGAGAGAGGCCACCTTAGTGGGTCAGCAAAGGTACCTCGAGGTTTGAGCGAAGACCTGAGGGGTGCAGAGGAGGCAGCCAAGCAAAGTTCAAAAGCTCAGAAGTGACAGAGGCCTTTGCTGGTTTAAGGAACAGAAAGTGTGGTGGAGGATGGGGACAGAGAGAAGTAGGTGAGATTGGAGGGTCGGGCAGGGGTCACACCACATAGGGCCCAGGCAGCCACACTGGAGCAGTGGGAAGCCACAAGGCAGCTTTAAGCTAGGCCAGATGGCCATTCTTCTTAAAATGATCCCTCTATTAAAGAAGCCAGATGTGGAGGAGGACACACTGGTGATTCTATTTATTTAGGATGCAAAGACAAGCAAAAGGTCATCGATAGGAAGAAGTCATTGTGGGGTGATTATGAATAAAGCCATCGGATAATTTAGAATCTGTCCCATTAAGCTTTTACAGGAAAAGTTCAGAAAGTACATTCAAGAATGTACTTGCTACATTTCCTGTATTAACAATGATGGATGGGTGTCCAAGGGAAACAAGGACGTGGTGACAGCCCCTGTGCTCTTGGAGACAAGTCCTGCAGGAGCATATGTTCCTGAAAAGTCCTGTTCTGCCTTGTTGCTTGAGGCCAGGTACCAAGCTGATGGTAAAGATGCCATTGGAGGCCCGGGGCCAGAGAACTTCCTTTTGACAGAGCTGATGAGAATTGGCTTTATGGAGGAGGAGGAGGTTTTTGTTCTAGGCCTTGAAGGCCGGGCCTGTTTCTCCTCAGTCAGACTTGCCCAGAGAACGGGACAGGACCTGCCTGTGGTGGGAGGAGGGCGGTGTGGGGTGGTCCACTGACAGGACAGCAGACAGCACCAGAAGAAGTAACTCCCACTTCGTTGCTCCTTCCGGCGTCTGCTGGCTGGAGGAGAAAGTCTCTGTCTGCCCTAGTGTGTTCCAGCGCCTCTGCCCCTCGAGCTCTCCAGAGAGAGGACCTACGCTCAGAGCTGTGGCAGGCAGGCTCCAGTGGGACTGTTTTGTGGTCGCTACATTTTTATGCTTATTTTATATTTATCGCAAGGGATGCTGTTTCTTTAATTCTTATGACAGGAATATAAAGTTAACTTTTAAAGTAAATTTAAGTAGAAACAATGGGTAGATTTAAAGAAAAAATGCTAAGATACTGACAGTAATGTGGCAGGGAAATGCCTGAAATTTGTGAAATGCTCTTGCAAATGATGGTGGTAGGTAGTGGGGGTGGGGATGGGGTGGAAGAGTTGGAGGGTGTTTTGAAGAAGAGGAAACAGAGGAGCAGCCCAACTGGGGGAGGAACCCAGGCAGCCCAAGGAGATGGGGCATAAGGTGTAGTCACGCAGTGGGGCAGGACTGGGGGGCAGGGCGACAGGCCGGAGATGTGAGTCCACTGGGTGGTGGAAACTTCGAGTGCCTGACCCAGGAGCAGGTCCAGGTGGGAATGCGGTAGGGAGCCATTGAGGCAAGAAATTTGACAGCGGGTATGAAAAGGGAGCCTGTGGGAAGCGCTGTGAAGGAGCGGGAACTCGGGGAACTCAGCTGCTATGTGCTCCATGGGGCAGGAGAGGCACTTTGCATCTGCTGTGTTCAGATGTGTGTGTACCAAGTACTGTGTGTGATGTTGTTTCAGTGTTGCATGCATTTGCGAGTACACTCAGGAAGTCTGCTTGAAAGAATGTAAATAGGAGAGGTGGAAAATTAAGCTGAAATGTATTACAGAAGCCAAATATCCTAAATCAGTAGTTCCTAAACCAGGCTTTCTCTGTAGAATCACCACTGTAGTTTGTCAAGTTCCCATTCCCCATCTCAGACCCCGACACCAAAGCCTTTAGGGGGGTGTAGACTTTTTTTATTTAAGGGTTCTCAGAGTAATTCTAATGGGCTGCCAATTTGGGGGGACTCTGACCTAAAGCAATCAAACATTTTTCCTTCTACCGTAATGGTGACCGTCTCCTGGATCAGGCAGTTTTCCTTTGCATTGGCTGACCCCACACATAATGTAACCATGTGGACAAGCATACATAACAGAGCTTTACGGAGAAGTTGACAGTATATCATGGAAATGCAATATTACAAGGGAACTCTGAAATCCTTCTGTTGGTGCTTGGGAAATTTCACTGAACACCAGCAAACTTGAAAGTCCGTACCTTGAGCACTTCAAGGGAAGGGAAGGAAGCAGAGGAAAGGGGACCTGACTGTGTCAGGGTTGCACAAGGAGAGACCAGGTGAGGACGGGAGCTCTGGCTACATCTGTCTCCTGAGGGGCCTCTTGCGGGCAGACAGGATGCTGGCTCAACTCAGGAGTGTTTCAGGGAGGAAAGTGTCTTAAACATAAATCTGTTGCCAGAAGAGCAAGATAAGCACTTTTCTCTTATGTAATCTACATAGATACTGCCTTTGCTTAACTAGATGGAGTACTCTACCCTTTAGCTCCCTAGGGCAGCCATACAAGGCATCACAAACTGGGTGGCTTAACAGAAAGTATTGTGTCACAGTTCTGGAGACTGGAGTCTGCAGTCAGGGTGTAGGCAGGAAATTGTGGGTCTGCAGGGTGGTTCCTCTGAGGCTGGGAGGGAAGGAGCTGTCTCAGACCTCTCTCCCTGACTTCAGATGGCCGCCTGTCCCTGTGTCTCCTCTTGTGGCCTTTCCTCTATGGAGTCCCTCTCTATACCCATATCTCCCCCTTTTTTTTGAGGACACCAGCCATACTAGATTAGTATGACTAATGACATGTACAGTGACTTGATTTCCAACGGTCACATTCTGATTTACTTCAACATTTGAGGTGATGGGGGGGGTGGGGTGGAGGGAGGCACAGTTCAACCAAAAAAACTATAGAGTTTACAAAAGCATAGAACGTGGGACATTCACTGGCATATGTGGGTGGGAGTCACTCATTCATTCACGAAACCAGTATTGAGAGCCTGGTATATTGGTTGTGGCTCACCCACCAGTGTTGGCTTGGGACCACCACTTCACATCTCTGGGCTTGACATTCTAATATGTAAAATGAAGGAATTATAGTAAATTCTCAGACACTTTTTTTAAAATAAATCTTTATTGTTCAGATTATTACAGTTGTTCCTCTTTTTTTCCCCCATAGCTCCCCTCCACCCAGTTCCCACCCCACCCTCTGCCCTTACCCCGCCACTGTCCTCATCCATAGCTGTACTATTTTTGTCCAGTCTCTTCTCACACCCCCCACACCCTTTCCCCCCAAGAATTGTCAGTCCACTCCCTTTCTATGCCCCTGATTCTATTATATTCACCAGTTTACTCTGTTCATCAGATTTTTTATTCACTTGATTTTTAGATTCACTTGTTGATAGATATGTATTTGCTGTTCATAATTT